TCAGGAGAGATAACACTCAAGTTCAAAGCACTTTCCAAGTCATCACTAATCTATGACCAGAGATTCAGAGATCAGAGAAGATCAGAGAAACAGACTTTCATATGGACAGCAAAGGCTATAGTTTCAGTGACTAGAGACTGGCTGATCATAGAGGGATGAACACAATATGAAAGGCATGGAAACCAGAAATCTAAGAACATATTTCAAATTGACCCACAGTCTATTTTGGTTATAATGATAAAGCACAAGAAATCAATGAAGGCAGAAAAATTAAACATACAGATACTTTCTTTGCTATTTATGTTTTATACTTTTTCTAAAATAAACATGTATTTTGCAACAAAATACTGAACTACTGTATTTTAAAATGAAGCGTGGCTACATCACCCATGTCTACAATGATGAGAAAAATCCTTAAACTTCTTTCTCAAGGTGGACAGTGGGCATACCCAGAAGACTCAGGAGCCCTCCAGTGCTGTGATTAGCATCGTAGGACAGCACCTGGCAGCAATAAGGTGGCCTGAACCAGGAGTGTGACAGGGGTGGAATAAACCAGAGTCATGGAGACAAGTTAGGAGGCTATTTCCACAGCCAGGGCAAAAAATGATAAGGGCTTCAATGACATGAAAGAGAAGGTGAGGGGGTTACAGTTTCTGAACACAAGAATCCTGTGAAACAGTGTCTGTGAAGTTTAAAGAGAAAAGCAGGGAGAAATGAAAAAAGATTTTCAGATTTTAGAGTGAAAATGCATTTTATCTGCACATCCTAAGTTTAATGCATTGTTTTAGATAAGGAAAAGGAGAGAAGCAAGAAGATGTAAAAAGAATTAAAATGTGTTATAGACTCATACCAACTCCCCCAGATGAGTGAAATCATTTTGTACTGCAAACATGTACTAAAAAAAACATGGACTAATTTTTAAAAAATTAAAATTTCAAGAAAATGTTAGAGAGGTGAAAGAAAAGGTAGGTTTGGATAAAATCTGCACCAAATTCTGACCTGGAATTGGAGAGTTGCACACTGAAAGTGGGCTAATTAGATGAAAGCAGCCATGCGGGAGGAGCTGATGAGGGCGGACAAGGGCTGAAGGCTGAGTTCCAGGGGACAGGGGGACGCCTGCCTTTGGAAGGCTACAGAAGCAGCAAGCAGGCAGCAGGCAGGGCCACAGCAAACAGACACAGACTCAAATAGAGAGGGTCTAACCAACATGCCAGAGGCTGCAGCAGGAGCAAGGAGCTCACAAAGTAAATAAAGGTCACTGAATTTGATGACTGTGTAGCTTGTAGCCTCTGACTCTCAGCAGAATTTTTGGAGCATGCATTTAGAAACAGCTGGCAAATGAGTGCAGAAGCGTGGGAGGCAGCATTCTAGCATTCTAATCTATGTAAGCCATGGTCCTCAGAGCTTGGGCAGAAAAAGGAAGGGAAGGACCGCAGGTCCTCCGAGGGCCAATAGGATTGAGGGAAACTGGAGGATGTGTGGTGTGTGCTTGGAGGCACAGGAGGAATGGTAAATAGGGGAGATGATGGAGGATACGGGATAGTTGGCCATCTTTTTCTTTTTCAGAAAAAAAATAATCCTTATTGATGGAGGATTAGCCACAAAATAGGCACTCACTGCTTAGTAAGCCCCTTGTAGGTTAGCATGCATAACCTCAATAAACATCCCACTCATTGGAGTAGGAGCCTGAGCACCAGTCTCCAGGGGCAGGATTGGAGGACAAGTAGGGGAATAATCAAAATGGAAATTTGTCTTTTTCCATTTAGGGACACGGTCAAAAATTTCTGCAACACATTCTCAGTGGTTTAGTAAGAAGATAAAGCCATTTAGTGCAGTTTCAAATGCTTGCATAGTATTTTACTGTCTTAATGTCTCATAATCATTTTAAACCATTTAATCATGACTATTCAAGAGTTCATTGTTCTTGTGTCCTTTTAATTTACATTAACCATTAATAATCTTTAATTATTTAGCATTAGATTTTATAGGTAACATATTAGTACCAATTATCTTTAGAAGTTCCTATACTGATTCCCACATGGCAGGATCTACTCTGACATAATAAAGTCTTAAAAGATATCCTACTATTTTTTTCTCAACCAGACAGCTACTTCTTCAGTTCTCTGTTTGACACTAAGTATTTATTTTCCTTCCTAAGATTGGTTAGTATCTTCCCACTATAAATTATAGTCATTTGAACATAATTCATCATGGATCTTTCTAACTTTTAATCTTTAAGCCCATTTAAAGACATAGAATACAGTTACATGAACACAGTACATATTTATTATTAAATAGGTTGAGGAAAAGCTGGTTTTAAAATTTCAAGTAGGATTCCTAATTTGCTTAGTCAAGAAATGCAGGGTATGTATTGGGATAAAAATATGCTGAAAATTTAATTTTTAAAGTATTACATGGAAAGACACATTGCCACTTCAAAATACTATCCTTCACTTTGAGTATAGTTACCCTGTCTTTTTGAAGAAGATCTGGAAATCTTTGCTGAGCACTTTAGTTGTGCAGTGGTGCCTGCCTCTGTATCCAGAATACATTCAAAACATCTAACTTTCATGGTCAAAATTTGTTCTTTGGAAAGATCAGAAGTCACACGGTGCCAGACCTGATGAGTCAGTTAGATGAGGCCACGCCGCAGTATTTTACATGCCTGCCTTTCCATTCCCTGACACTTGGCAACAGCAGATTACACTTTTTACCACACCTCATAAAGGAGACTTTTCTGAGGAGATTTTCTGAGGAACTTAAAAGCCTTTTGAAGTAACATTTCATAAACTAACTTTACCCTACATTTTTGATGATTAAAAAAATCTACAGGCTGATATTCTACCCTATAAACTTTGAGAAGGGTTGATATGCTGTGCTCCATCCCCTTTCCAAATCTCGGTTCTATAAAGCTATTATAGCAGGAACAGCAAGTGTGACACATTGCCACTTACATTGTTATCATAAACTGAGGAAGAACACCAAGAAGACGACTGAGAGAGACAGCTGAGTTTTAGAAACAATATTTGTTGAGCATAAAAGATGTTTTAGAGCTTCCTTTCCATTAAATTACTCTACAATCAAAGACAAATAGTGAAACCACCCAAACTAAGCATTGGTCTACAAGAAAAAGGGTTGCTTTGACCTTGGGGATTCATGAGCATCTTCAAAGAAGCTAAGAGGGTGCTTAAAAGATATTTGGAGGTGGGAGAATTGACGCAAAAGAGTAATAAATTCCAGAATTTATTTATTACTATATAGCATGAGCAAGAGCACAATGGAAAGGGAGAGGGAAAGTTGAACACAAGGGATTGTAGGCAGTCTAACTGACCGCAGACTAGGTTTGATAAGAAGAGGGAACATCAAGGGAGAACCGGTTGATTGATCTTGTGATGAGAGACACAGCCAAATTCTAGTCAACTCTGACATGACTCTGGACGTGGCGGGGAAGGATGTGATCACTGTGGAACATTAGGAATGACCTCTGAGGATATGTAAAACAGAATGGAAAGTAAGGGACCACTTACAGACTTACAGTGGTGCAGGCAAAACTCAGAAGAAATCTGGAGTAAAGCAAGAGAAATAAAAGGGAATGAAAGATCACAGATGGAAGACGTGGACGGGTCACTTAACACCCTGGAGGCCATTTCCTGGGAATTATTAGACAAAGATAGTAATTGAAACATATTAAGATGAAGAGGACAGTCGAGCTCTCTCTTTTCCTGCCCTCTTTTGTAACTCTACTTAAGCAGATAATCAGACTGAATCTCATGGCATCATCATTTTGACACTTGCTACAGTGCTCTGCAATAATTCTTTTTTTATTATTATTTATTGAAAATAATTCTTGAAATGGCCCTGTAGCTTGCCAAACAGATGGCCACCAGAAAGAGTATAAAGTATCACTCAGAGACAATCACAGCAATTGTTTAGAGTTAACTTTTTGATTAAAATAAAAAGTGTTTCAGTAGTTTTGTTCTAGTAGAACCGAGAGAATTCCAAGGGCAGCACAGTTTCTTTTTAAAACCATTTTGTTTGTGCTTTGCTGCACATCAGTCAGAAATCACATTCTGTATCGACCATTTTGTTCAATTGGGTGAGACGCAAAGACACAGTTTGGAAAGGAGTATTTTTTCCCCACTTTTGTTTAGTCTCCTTGTAAATTGCTGAAAGCTTTTTTTCTTTCAAGTTAAATTGTTGGCTTAGAAGAGACCCTTAGAGATCATCTGGTCCAACCTCTTCATTTTTCAGATGAGAAAGCAGAGGCCTCCAGAGAAGAACAAGATCTCATTAGCAGTCTACGGGGTGCAGAGCTGTGATGGTGGACAGAACAACTGGATTAATGATTTTCTCCCTCAGCTCCTACAGAGAAACAGTCTCTCCTCTCATGCCCGTTCCTAACACTCACTTTCCCATCCCTAAGTTGCATACATTGGTAAGACACCGAGTCTAGCACAATCCTGTGCAGAAAAGCTCCTGGGGATCAGAAGGGAGGAAAGCAGAAGACCAAGCTTTTATGACTCCTGATTTTTCTGCCCCTCAGCAATCTCCATGGCTCTGGGTTCCTGCACCGTAAAAATTATGATCTGAAATTAGCCATTCTGAACCTGCCACTGTGGCTGTCACTGTGCTAAAGTAGAAGCCATTGAGAATTCTGGGTTATGGAAGAAAGGAAATTAACACTCATTCATAAAGCATCAACTAAGCTCTCCAGAAGTTAATAATAAAAATTACCACCATGCACTGACGGCTTCACAAGTGCTGACCGCATCACATTGTTGATCTCCTTCTGCCTTCCCACCACCACTGCAGGGTACAAACGTCTGTTTTGTAAGTAAGAAACTCAGAGATTTTAGGTAAAATAACCAAGCTTACAGTAGCATTATAAGACAGAGACAAAATTAGAATCTTTTTCCAAATTATAACTGTGTTTTTAACTGTGCTATACTTTCTTTTCTAAATTCTTCACTATGTAAAATTTATGTAGAATTGCAATATACCTATATGGCCGTAGAGTCTACCCAGGACAGCTCAGCGTGCCTAGAATAGAAAAAAAAATGCAGCATTCTCTATAAAGGAAGAACAATTTTTAAATCTAAAGAGCTCTTAATGCGTTCTTAAGCTTAGGTATCCTGGGACAGCCCCACTTCATTCGTAATGCCCAGAAAGTATAGATGAAGAGACAGAGCAGAGTCCCACTGAAAAGATAAAGCATTAAACAGGCAGGCAAGAGGCAGGCGAGGATTTGTGGTGGTATGTTTCTGTGTTTTGCACGATTGTTGTATGAGTAGGGCAGTCAGGTGTTTAAGTGACAAAGGAGTAAGTACAAGAAACAGAGAGACCAAGATTCGAAGAAGGAATGAGGGGATGAAGTAGATGACCAGCAGAGGCAAGAGAATTTTGAGAGTCAGCAGGCAAAGACAACCACTGTAACATGGTATGGTCCTGCTTCGCATAGAAAGGTACGTCAACCATGGGGTGATGCCTGCATATTGTAAATTGTAATTAAGCCAAGCTGAAAATGCATATGATGCACTTTCGCTGTTGTGCATAATAGTTTAGACACACAGCACACTGTAGAGCACAGGCTGCTTATCCTGAAGGTCATGTGGCTGCCGAGTGATATGCTTTTATCTTTGACCACTGCCTAGCACTGTGAAGGAGTATGGTGTCTTACACCATGAGCCTAGGAAAAGATCAAAATTCCACATTTCATGTTTGAAGCACGGTTCCTACTCAATGTTTGTTGCTTAAAAAGTATGGTCAAGTAAAAAACAAAAGAATCATAATTTGAATCATGTGAAGCAAGGAATCCACAGGATACTCTGAAGTAGAGAGACTGAGAGCAGAAAAGCCAGTGAGGAGAATACTGAAATAATCAAGGTGTGAGATAAATAAGATAGGAGCCAGTGGTAGAGAAAAGGTGTCAAAACCAAACTGTAAGATAGTATTAAGTATTAGAGTACAGGCAATTACTTTGAAGGCAATAAGATTCACTTGATGTCCCACATTCTGGTTTGACTATTATCCTCTTTTGAAGTTCTGTAAGGTTTACAATGTTTAGGTTTCATTGGACTTGTTCTCTCCTGTTTTGTTCAACTTTACAATACCTAATGACATAGAAAATTCTTCTTAAGGAAGCAAGAGGCATTATGGTAACCGTTGTTGATAACCTTGTACTCTGTTTTTACCTCATGTGCTATGTCTATCCTTGGTTTTGACTGACAGCTTTGTTTTATCATGTTTGATTTTATTCTCTTACAAAACAAAAAGTAATAAGATCTATGGGAGCAATAAAACCCAAAATGTGTAAATTTTGTTGTAATAAAGAGAGGGGAAATAAAAAGTGCCCAAAAGGATACAAAATCAAGTTTGTTTAGATATGTTATATAGATGACCATATTAATATTTTTGATTGGATCATTGAACACAACTATTTGCAGTCTCACTATTTGAATGTTCACTTTGTATGCTTTGATCCTGTGACCTGAATCACTGTTTCAAAGATGATAGTGTGTAATTTATTAATTGGTGATATCTTACTGTTTGTTTTTTCTTTTGTAGTTCTGTATTACTTGTACCCTTACACTGTTTTGCTTTGTTCTGTTTTTTTTTTTTCTCTTTTTCCTTTTAAATAAAAAAAAAGCCAAATGGCATTGTAAAGGAAGAAATTGTTTCTGGCTTTCTGGTGACAAACAAGCATTTAAGAGGGACATCATTGCTATTATCACATTGGCCCCACCTTGGTGCTTTCCTCCTGGGCAGAGAGGGAATGAGAGGTGCTAACTTACTGTGCTCCTGAAGGGCAAGTACTGAACATGTGTATGAGAAATTGAAGACGTAGGGTAGGTAGAAAATTCATGAACAGGAATCAAAACGCACCGGAAATACTTCCCAGAAACAATAACTGGGATCACATCTTATTACAAAGTTTCTGCATGAAAAAGAGATCTCCAGCATAGTGAAAAGAAAACCCAAAAAATGGGAAAAAATCTTAGTGAACTGTAACTCAGACAAAGGTCTTCTTTCTAAAATATATAAAGAATTAAAAAAAAATCAGACCCCCGAAATTCAAAGACCCAATCCAAAAATGGGCATCTGTGATGAATACACACTTCTCAGATGAAGAAATACAAATGGCAAATAAATACATGAAAAAATGTTCATCACCATTAGTCATTAGAGAAATGCAAATTAAAACCACACTGAGATTCCATCTCACTCCAGAAAGAATGGCCAGGATCAAGAAAACCATCAACAAAAAAATGCTGGAGAGGCTGTGGGGAAAAAAGAACTCTACTGCACTGTTGGTGGGAATGTAGACTGGTACAACCATTGTGGAGGTCAGTCTGGAGATTTCTCAAAAAGCTGAGATTGGAAGTCCCATTTGATCCAGCTATTCTGCTTCTAGGCATATTCCCAGAAGATCTGAAAACATCATACCACAGTGATATATGTGCACCCATGTTTAAAGCAGCACAGTTTGTAATAGCCAGATCTTGGAAACAACCTAAGTGTCCAACAACTGAGGAATGGATAAAAAAGATGGTATTTTTATACAATGGAGTATACTTAGCTATAAAGAATGATCACATTGAGATATTTACAAATAAATGGACACAGATTGAGACCATACTCACAAATGAAATAAATCAAACTCACATGTATAAATACTATATAGTCTCCCTAGTGTAAGAAATGGTAAGAGTATACAAAAGTTTATGGTAATCATGATTCTCCATTACATTGCTTTGAAGCCTCATAATGTTTCCATTCATTAGTTGGAATAGTTTTATCCTGAGTTGTTTGATTGTATTATCTGTGGTGGTATAACAGCTATTTTGAAGAAAACAAGACATTATAATAGCCAGTGCTGAATTATATAAACAAATTTTTTATGGACAATGAAATAATATAGGAACCATTGTTCATTTTCTGTCATTTGGTTTTGAATGCCCTGTAATACTTCCATTTTCTTTAATGGTTTTATACTATTTTGTTATGTTTGATACTATTGGTATGACGGTATGCTCACCTATTTCAAGGAAGGAGACATTATAGTAGCTACTGTTATATCGGGTTGTCTTGCTTAAATTGTTCTATTCTGATCTGCTTTGTTATGTCCTCTTTTATCTTAATCTCTTTAAAATAAAAAAAATTAAAAAAAAGAAATGATGATCTAAGCTACCAAGAAGTTTTTGTAGTAGTTTTTTTTTTAAGTAATTGGAAATCCTATCATCATTTAGCAGAGAAAAGATAGGTAACCTGTCATATGCATTTTAAATGCAGCAAACAGTATCATGACATTGTACATGAATTGTGCTAAGTCAGATTTTATTGGTTGATTTTTTGCTTATAGCAGCACAAGAGCTAAAGATACTGGAGGCTTATACTTGATTTGATATTTAAGGATGTAAATAATGTTATATTAAAATGGTTTATATCCTAAAAGAACATATGCAGTGTCTATTTTTCCTGTAAAAAGTCCCCACATGACTTAAGATATTTAATACCAAAAGCAATGTTTTGTGCACCACTGGATTTGACAAGAAAGTAGTTATTAGTGATCTGAGAAACTAATGGCTTAGAAGTCACACTGCAAAGAAATAGGAAGTAAATAAGGGATTAAACTGAATCAACAGTAGTTGAATGTGTAACAAAAAATGTAAATTACGCATGCCAAAATCTGAAGGAAGAACATAAAGTGAAAAAATACAAGTAATAAAAGTAATCATATGATCTATGATGGATATGCAAGACTTGTGTAAAACACCTGCAGTTGGTCAAAATGTGAGTTTTGTGGGTATGTGGTAGACATTAAATGTATTTCGTTCCAGAAAGGTGAATATATCAATAGGAATTCATTTCATGGTCAAATTAATAAATGACAATTTACGAGAGATATTAAAATGCAAAGTTTGAAGAATCACAGAAGGCAATTCAGATACCACATCTCATTTCTCAAAACCACAAATCAATTAGCAGAAGGTTTTGAGGTCACATCCATGTGAAGTGCCACGGATTTCCAGAGCTGATTTTATGACTTTTCATCAAGTAATAGATGAATATTGTTCAGCTCCAAAGTTGCACAGATAAAATACTTTTCATTTTTTAAACCTCTTTTTTCTGAATGAAAGGAAATAATTTATGAACTCATCTTCCAAGAAGTTGTTTAATGAGTTAAGGAGAATTCACGTTGTGCAGATCCAGACTTAATCTAGGGTTGACATAATATGTTCTTAAATAGAAATATGAAGCAAAATTTTATCAGGTCTCTTATCCTTTGGTTTTCAAGACTCGTGTCATAATGGGTGCCATTTCATTAAAAAGTGTAATCATCTCCATCATTACCTTAAAATATTTCTTACTGCAGAAATATTAATAAATAGGCAATATCTGGTTAAAAACAAAATACAGATTATTAGTTCAAATATTCTTGTATTTCTCTAAATACTGGGATATTTTTATTCTCAGAGGATAACACCATATGTAATACACAGCGGTTCTGTAAATGATAGGAAGATTTTGTTCTGGGGAGTCAGAAAATCTTAGGTTTGAATTTGGCATTTTCTTTTGGTACCCGTGTTACTTGGACATGTTAAACAAATTGGTTAACATTTATTTCAATTTATTTAAAGAGGATTATTAATATCATTTTATATATAGGGTAATTTGAAAGGCAAGTATGTTTTAAAAATTAAAACGTTTAAAACACATATACATAAAAATACATACTTATATTAGTTTAGCATGTTTGTCATACATTGATTACTCTTAGACTTACTACCCATAATTATCAGTCTTACTGTATGTACACGTAATTATTTATTGAATAAGTGACAATACACTATATATTTCTATTAATGGATAATACATCTTGAAAGTTATATAATGCAAATTAGAATTATGTCTATAAAGTTTATAGTCCATAGCAATGATTTCATAAAAAAAGAACATTCAACTATTATTTTTAATACTATGATTTTCTTTGGATTTCATATATAAACAATTCATATTATATTATCCTCTCTTGGTACTTT